TGCATTTTTTCCACATCTCATTCACTTGGTTAATTACACTTTTAAGTTCCTGCACAACACACTGGTTCTATAAATGCTAGGCATAGTGCACAACGACTGCATATATGCGTTATCGCTAGCTGTAAATTAAGCGTTTATTTTCCTATTGAACAGCACGTCTAGTTCAAAATAGGATTGTTTTAAGTAAGGTTCTAAAATTAGCGGATTTCCAGATTTGTAAAAATTTATGAAGCCATTAATAATGACCAAAACAGTGGAATGGATTTCAGAATGGTGTTTTATTTAATTGTGTGTATGTTATTTTTGTGTTTATTTATGTAGGTATGTGTTATTTTTTTGTTTAGAAAATTGATTAATAAAGCAACATTTCTTATCAAAATTCTTTTCATTTAAGTTTCCAATTTTCAACAAATACTTTTGTTACTGGGTCTAAAAAAAGGTTTGTAAAAATAAGGTCCTTTTTGAAAATTACAAGAATTTTGGTTGAATTATTGATATAGAATTTTGCTATTAAATTTACAAAATGTTTGTTATAATAACAACAGTTGAAATTTTGAAATGAAAATTTCAACTATGAAAGATTCAAACTTGAAATATTTCATTTAGTTGGAAAAGTGAAATTTTTAAAAAATGACCTTTAATAATAATTTACAACAGATTCCGAATCGACCAATAAGAACGAGTTATCAAGCGTCTGGGCGTTTTTGTTTAGTTCGGCTTGGATTTGAATACACTGTAAGTAATTATTGTTACTTATATGCATAAATTAATTTAAATAATTTAATTCAGTTACCAATTTAATTTGTAAATTAAATTTTTTTAAAAGTCATGATTAATTTAAACTTTTACTTTTGCTATAATTGTATCGGAAAACGGATAAAAAAGCCTTTGGCTCATAAAATTTTGATGAAGTTTCTTCAATTTTTGTAAAATTTCAGTAAAATATATAAAAATAATAAATATAAAACAATGAAAGTGGCACAATCTCATTAGCTTACCAAAAAGTGCTATATCTCTCTTAGTTTTAGTAATTTTAAAAATATTTTAAAAGGAAATCTCAAGAAATTTAAACATAGGTATTTACTATTTATATTATTGGTGCAGGTGGCCAAAGAGGGGTAGGAGGTAAGAGAGGCAATTTGCCATGGTCACCGAGTGGGCTTATTTCAATATTAATATATTACACTTAAAGTGATTGAAATTTATTGAAAGTTTCAATAAATTTCATAAATTTCATGAAATTTTAGACATTTAGGAAATTTTAATAAATTTCATAAATGTCGTGAAAATTTCAAGTAAAATTTCAAAGTGAAATTTTCCCAACCCTAATTACAAACTACTTAAACAATTAGTTAACAGATTACAGTTGGTAACTTAACATAAAATCTTTTTAATAATATACTATAGTAGTACAAATCTAAATACTAAAATATTTAAATTTTAAACCAACAAACAGTTTACTAAAAATGTTCAGTTATAGGTGTAAAGAATTTGAATAATTTCAAAAAACACTCGACATTTTTTAAAGGTGCATGTTGCTATCACATAAAAATTTTACGACCGTTTTATGTAGATGCACAACGAACACATAATGGGCAAATTAGGCATATCTACGGTGGAACAGGTGAAAAAATAAAAAGGTGTTAGCTCGATATTATATGACTGCCTTATTTTAGATAAGATGTTATTAATATTTAACAGATTAAATACATTTTATCACCACTTTTATCAAATTCTATATTGTTGCACCTAACATTGTTTATTTTGGATTTATTTTTTTTGTATGAACGAAAATAAGGCCATAAATAGATAGCCATTTTTTCATTATGACTGCACTCTAAAAATGAAATAGTCAAAATTCTACTATTTGAATTAGGACCGTCATTTTTTACTAATAAAATAGTCGTTTTTACTTTTAAATACACTCACAGGCAAAATAATCGATCCACACAAATTTTCGATGAATTTCAATCGCAAATAACTTTTTTATTTGATGTCGGATTTAAACGAATATTAAAGAATATTGTAGATAAATTAATGGACAATCGCTCACATTTTAAAAAATTACTTAAAAATAGACGTACGTTTATAATATACAGGTTTAAACAAAAATATGTTTTTTACCATAAGTTTAAGACCCTCTGTAGAGTGGCAAAACCGTATATTGTTCTAAATTAAGTTTTATTTATTAAGTCACATCTAATTCTTAACAGTTTTGTTTTTGGTTCACCTCGATATATTTATTTTTGTGGAAAATATGGATTTTTAAGAAAAACATTGCAATTTCCAATATTTTTCCTGTATGAAGAACTAAGGTTGCTATGGTCCATCCATAGCCTATGGAGGATGACAGTTTTGTTGAATCATCCCATACTTGGACATGCCATATACGGCTTTAAAAAGCTATCAAATTGTTTTTTGTAAATTATTGTGTTAATTTTAAGGTGTCTTCTTACTTTAAAAATGGATATGTCTCCGACTGATGTTGCCAGAGCCATTAATTTAATCCAGGATGGACGGTCACAGTATTACGTGGCAAGTGTTTTAAACGTCACAAGAAGTAAAGTACAAAGGGCAACATCAGTCGGAGACATTTTTAAAAGTAAGAAAACAAAACTGTTAAAAATAGATGTGACTTGATAATTAAAACTTAATTTAGAACAATATACGGTTTTGCCACTCTACAGAGTGTCTTAAACTTATGGTAAAAAACATATTTTTATTTAAACCTGTATATTATAAACGTCCGTGTATTTTTTAGTAATTTTTAAAATGTGAGCGATTCTCCAGTAATGTACAATATTCTTTAATATTTGTTTAAATCCTAAATCAAATAAAAAAGTTATTTGCGATTAAAATTCATCGAAAATTTGTGTGGATCGATTATTTTGCCTGTGAGTGTAGTTATTTTTTAATAGTTAAAGTTTGACTAATTAGTCAGCATCTTTGACTATTTCTGAGTTAAAAGTAACTAATTTCTTTAATCGTTTGCGGCCAACAAAAAAGTATTATTTGAATTAAATGTATATACCTAAGCTCCATGGTTAAATGACCCATAAAAACAAATAAAGATGCAAAAAGTTTAGCTCAAAACACCAACACAAATAATAGGTATATTCAACTTTAAAATATTATGAACAATACACGGTGCTGTTCTGAGAGGTGATTTTTTGACTTTCTGTGAAATCTAATTTTTTTTATATTCTTGTTAATTAGGTCATAACTAAAATTTTAAGAGCAAAATAAAAAAAATTTGACGGTTTGAATTGTTTTAATTGGCTGTTTATTAAAAATATTATGCACTCTTTCAATTATCCAATTAAAACTAGCGATTTAATTTAAACATTTAATATTTGCATAACTAAAAAAAGGTTTTTACAATTTTTTTTATATATTTTACTGTTTTGTTGCAATAAACGTTCAAACTTTTAATCTAACCTTTGACGTATACATTTATGTTCCCTTAATTAATATATCCTTAAAGGTTGCCATGAAACTTAGATCTATTAAAAATTTATTTGACGTTTGAATTGTCATTTTCAGTACCGTAAACACGGGTGGCTTTGGCTCACTTTCAAACTTCAGCTTAAAATTTATGTGGTTTAAACAATCATAAACATTAAATTTTGTATACCAAAATTTGAGTCTTGAGTTGCTCTTTCATAATAACGATGTTATAATATTACATAGGGCTGAGTTTCAAAAATAAACATTAAAAACTGGGTGTGCAAAGTTACCCCCTGGTTGCGGGTTACTTTGTCTCACAGTGTTTTTTCAGTATAAAATGAATGTAATATTATATTTTATTTTTATTAGACACGTGTTAGCAGCGACATATATCTATTGCAAGGGATTACCAATAAAAAAAATAAAAAATCGACCTGTAGTTAACCAAGGATCATCATTCCAATGGATTGCTCATAATATAGAAATTGTAACGCGTGTATTTCTAAGAGTTTTGCACTGATACGATATATACAATTTTAAAGTGTAATAAATCCCATTTCTTTCTTTAAAACACTGATTTTCCTGTAATATAAACTCAATAGAATCGCTCAATTGACAGGTTTAGACCAACAAATTATAAATGTTAATTTTATCGAGCGCGAAAAGATTTTTCATAAATGGGTTAAAGTCACCCGCGGGGTGCAAAGTCACCCGTACTTACGGTATACGTATTCTATAATTTTTGTTTAGTTTTTTAATGTGTTTTTTATAAACAAAAATGAAAAATTGTAGTAAAAGTTACGAAGAAATTTATGAAATTTAACTAAGGACCGGTTTATTCATCTTTAGTAAAGTTTATCGGGCCGATAACTTTCATGGCTTGGAAATATCTAGTATCCAAAGAAATTATTCGTCAAATAAATCAAAAATGAATAAATCGGCCCTAAATAAAATGTGGCACCCTTAGAATTATTGTTTAATAAATGTATACTATACATTTAACCTTAAATTAAAACTTTAAACAGTAAAAGATATAAAAAATGTATATACCTTTTTTTAGGAAATTAACTAATCTTTAATCTGATTTAAAAAGTTATGATAATATTTAAATAAAATCGCAAGTTTTAATTGGAAAATTGAAAGTGTGCATACATATTTTTAATAAATATCCAATTAAAACAAAATTAACCGTCAAATTTTTTTTATTTTGCTCTTAAAATTTTAGTTATGACCTAATTAACAAGAATATAAAAAAAATTAGGTTTCACAGAAAGTCCAAAAATCACCTCTCAGAACAGCACCGTGAATATCTTAAGAAAACGAGCTAACTTTAAAAAACTGATTACACCACTGGATTCTACGCCCAAAAATTAAGTTTACGTGTACCGGCGATTTTTTGTGTATTTTTGATGTTACTACTGTGTTATTAGTGACTGCTTTTTCGCTATGACAATTAGTCAAATATGACTTATAATTAGTTATTTTTGACTGATTCATTTTAAGAGAGTGTATACGTCTGCTACCAAATAAATATATACGCTATTTTCACTTACCAAGCATTGGCAGCCATCCCAAAGTAATAGATCAACAGGAAAACAAAGGCGCAATTGACGTTTGACAGCCCGTCGTGCGATACGTCGCCCATGGGCGAGTTTCCTTTGCAGCCGTTCGACATGCGCCCAGAGAACATCCTCAGCGCCCAGCCGAGGCTCACAAGGCAGTAGCAGAGCGCCAAGCTGACCAACGGCTTGGCTTTCACCCGGCCGCCCCCGATTGTCATCGTCAGGGCCGCCCCGAAACTCGAGGTGAAACAAATGAGCGCCCAGACGGTTACCCAAACCTGGAAAAAAAGGAAATATTAGGATTTGGGGTTGATATTTGGTGGAAGTATTTAAAAATAATCTACTCACTAATATCAAGTCACTATAAACAAATTTTTGAGAAAAATTTATTTGTGCAATTAACATTTCTGCACCGCTTGATTAAATAAAATCTTCCTAAAGTAAATTAAAACTATTTAAAAATATCAATATACATTTTTTAAAGTTTTTTCTTTTACATTTTAATATTTTTTTTTCAAACTTTTTTTTTATTTTTTTTTGTCATTTTGTCTTCTTTTTCGCAAAGAAAAAAAATTGAATCTAGCAGTTAAATATAATTAAAAACGGTTAACTTTAGAAAAAAAAGTAAATACATTTTTCGTAGGAAATTTAGATTTCCACAAAATGTCATGTCAAATTAGTCATCAAAATCTAAATTTTTTAATTTTTAAGAAATTTTTCAATTTTTATATTTAAGTACTGAAAAAACCGCATTTTGAAATAGGTAGTAAAAGACAAAATATATCTACGAATTCATGGTAACATAATATAAACTTTTACTGTCAAGTGAAGACTTTCTCAATCAACGCTTTTAATAATTCACAATGCTGTTTCTTTTAGACGACTTAATTATTTGTTTTATGATTTTTACTGAATTAACATATTTGGGTGAATATATTGAGATGTCCCCCAAGTGAAAATTATTATTTTTTATTTTTGGTTGTTTCACTGTTGGTTTAAAATGGGTTTTTTGGGAAGCCACCAGGTCTAGTAATAACATAACATAGGTTAGTGGTTCTGCACTAATGCAAGAATTTTAAAAAATTATACATTTTGAATATTAGAGCTCGGAGGTTAGGATTTCGTATGTTTTTTTAAACCTCCCTTTGTATATTTGAAATAAGTTATTGTATCTTTTGACACCATTTTTAAAAATACAATTGTACATACATAAAATATTTAAAAAAAAATCTACTTACTGAGATATTACACTTCACGGTGGATAGGTTTTTAAATAGCAAATTAATGAACTTAAACTTTTGAATTATAAAACAGCAACACTCTCATCTGCATATAAATTCTAACTGACCTTCAGGAATCACATGCATCTATAATGTCCTAAACAAAGGTTTTTGCTTATTTAAAATGATTAAAGCGCCATCCGTTGCATAAAATTTAAAGCAAAATCAGATTCACGGAGGATAGAATCAATTTTTGTAACACCTACATAAATGGTTATAAAAATTATTTCTTTTAATTTTTAATAATATTTTATGTTTGATTCGATTGTTTTGGATGTGTTTAATTTACTTAGTGAGCTGATATTTTTAGTATGCTTTTACTACCTTAGATACTTGAAAACATGTAGGTTAACCTAGAAAGAGTAACAGTCACGGAGGATATGTTTTAGACTTTTAAAACATTGTAAAAAATAATTAATTGAGGTTAAAAATCTGGAACCTGAGCTGTAATATCTACTTAATTATGAAAGATCAAAACACAATAAAAGTGTAGATCAAACTCATTTAGTTTTATTAAATATCACGGGGTAACACCATCGGGGGACATTTCGTGCGATTCACCCATATGTGCATTATTTAAATTAAATAATTATGTACCTATCTATGAAGAATAATTTATTAATTTGTTATTAGCACCCACAACAAGCATTCTCCTACTTAAAAAACGCTCGTTTGTAACATACGTGTTTGACAGCTGCTTATAATAAGTGCCCAGATTCTGTCAAAAAAGGGACATTTTGTGTGAATTAACCTTAAACAACCAATAATAATTAGGTAACGTCAAATTTACAATTTGCATTTTATCATTGTGTCAATTTTGTACAGATTGTCAATTTTGTACAGATTGTCAATTTTGTACAGAGAAGATTTCTCGAACGTGAATAGTCAACACAATATTTCATCTACCGCAAGGAATTTAAAACAAATTTTATTTAATATTTTTTTAACTTCACAAACTTTTCCTTTGTTAATACACTCTTTAAATTCTAGGTAAAAGGGATTCTAAGTTTTAAATCCAGTGGTAAAGTGTTAGTTGTTTACTTACATAATAATTATTATTTAAACTAATCCCAAAACATCTAATCAGAGACAAGGGAGAGAGAGACGAACGATTCCCATATAAACATTGGAAACAATAAATGTGGCGCCCTCGCCGGGGGCTGCGAGAACTAATGCTAAAAAAATTTTGCGCGGTATTTTTAAATATTTAATTTTTGTTTGCTACAAATGAATCAGTGAGATTAAGAACCGTACAAGTCCAAAAAATTTGACAAATTATTTTATAAAGTCAGTTTTATAGTTCAAAAAGCATTTTTGTGAAAATATTTCAACTAAATACTTTATAAAACATAATAATAATATTTTATAAAATAATATAAATCTTCTCACAAAAATTCATTTTAAACTTTTAAATTAATTTTAGAAAATAATTTGTAAAAATAAATATTTTGGACTTGTACTGTTCTTAATCTCACCGATTGAATTACAAAGTAGGATCTTTTGTAGATATCATGTTTAAAAAAATTAAAATAGCATTAAATTAAAATTATTTTATTTACAACATGTAAACCAATAAAAAACAGGAACAAAAATAACATTGAACACAAATAATTTATAGACAAAAATAGAAAGAAAAATAATGTAAAAATATCAAAATATTAATTATATTTAAATATGAAATAAACATACCTACACGAAAATATTTTAAAGCAAAAACTTAATTAACAACACAAAAAAACACTCTAAAAACTAATCGAATTGAATAAGAGAAGAAAATTATTTTATCACACATACCTACATATTTTAATTTATTTACTTTGACCTTAAATAATTTCATTTAACAACAATTAACAATCTGCTAAATATAACGAGGTATAATAACTTATCAATAAAACTTATAAACAAAACCACAGAAGCACTTTTAGTATTTACTGACAGCAGACTGACAGACGACAGAAAATGACAGTAAAGAACATAATTGCGCCTTTTCAGTGCAGGGCTGCCAACAAATGTGCAGAAACCAATTTACATTGAAATCTGTGTGCAGCCCTGCGCATCTAAATTGTTGACCGAAATTCCTATTTAAAGAATCGTCTCTCTCTCCCTTGTCTCTGCATCTAATAGTATTTTTAAAATTTGCACTGGTAAAACATTACCTACTCTAAATATTTTTATTGTTTTAAATAACTTTAAATCATATATATATATATATATATATATATATATATATATATACAGGGTGTTTCATAATATATGCGCAGGACTTCAGGACGTGATAGCTCATCCAAAAAGATGAAAAAAGTCGCTATTAAGTTACGCTCTAAAATGCACAATTTTCGAGATACAGGGTGTTGAAATTTTAGAAAAAAATTCGTTTTTTTCGAATATATCCGGAACCGTTTATCGTACAAAAGACAGCTTTTGTAAGCATTTTCTACTCAAAATAAGCTATGTTTTGTGCTAGACAAAAAAAAATTTTTTTCCTCATAATTGATGGAGATTTTAAAGGGGTAGCGGGTGTTTTTCTCCTTAACTTCTACGCCCCTGAAAAAAGTACGGTTTTGAGAGGCCCATTCGAACCGACAATGTTTTCTACACAAAAAAGGTACTCCTGGTCATAAGCTCTAAAGTTGACCGTTTTCGAGAAAAATCAACTTTTATGTTTAAAAACATTGTCAATTTAAAAAAAATATATTTTTGTTTTACTAATTAAACAAAATTTATTTTAACGTTAGAACAAGTAACAAAACCAAACCATAATTGCAAAATAAAAAATGATTTAAAAGTTGTCTTTGCTTAATTCTCCAAACCGTAAAGGTAACGCATTTCGCACATTTCAGCATTTGAGTAAAAAATCATTTTTAATTTTTTTTTAATTTTGCAATTATCGTTTGGTTTTGTTACTTTTTCTAACGTTAAAATAAATTTTGTTTAATTAGTAATAAAAATTTTTTTTCAAAAAATTGACCATGGTCAATTTTTTGAAAAAAATAAACTTTTATGTTTAAAAACATGCATGTTTTTAAACATAAAAGTTTATTTTTCTCGAAAACGGTCAACTTTAGAGCTTATGACCAAGAGTACTTTTTTTCTGTAGAAAACATTGGCGGTTCGAATGGGCCTCTCAAAACCGTACTTTTTTCAGGGGCGTTGAAGTTGAGGAGAAAAACACCCGCTACCCCTTTAAAATCTCCACCAATTATGAGTAAAAAAAAATTTTTTCTGGCACAAAACATAGCTTATTATGAGTAGAAAATGCTTACAAAAGCTGTTTTTTGTACGATAAACGGTTCCAGAGATAATCTAAAAAAAAACGATTTTTTTTCTAAAATTTCAACACCCTGTATCTCAAAAATTGTGCATTTTAGAGGGTAAGTTAATAGCGACTTTTTTCATCTTTTTGGATGAGCTATCACATCCTGAAGTCCTGCGCATATATTATGAAACACCCTGTATATATAACATGCAAAATTTGATTTTGACATATTTGAGGTTTGCAAAATAAATTTCAAGTATAAAATTATTTAGGACAAGGTATAGCTGACTTAAATTTCTTGCAATTTTTCTTGTAATACATATTCACTTGTTACATTTTGTGAAGTGAAATATTAGGATTTTTTAACTGTTCTATTGTAAATTTCCATTTAAAATATTATCAACTGTTAAAGTAATTTTTTTCACACATAAGTATTAATTTAAAAGCCAAAACATTTTATTGTTATACGGTTCGTCGTCTTGCACCTATCGAAGTCTTTTTTTAATTCTTTAATATATTCATTGTTTTTCTTAAGCAACACGAAGAATAATTAATAACTAAATAAAAACAACTTTACTCCTAACAAGCTTGTTATTTCGCTTAATTAATTTATTTTAATAAAATTTTAATTAATTATATCGCATTTTAAGATCACATTTCTTTCAACGTCTACATAAATTTTAATTTAACTTTTTCTATATGACTGCGCTGTTTATTAAATTAATTAACTGGTGCAATTAAGTTAATTTTTATGCAAATCTACTATAATTGCAATAAAACTCTTGAGAAATGTTGTTTTTAGTCCGTCAGACCCTTAAATCAATATAAACCGAGTCTCCGGACAGGCTGTAATTTTCAGGTAATAAATTCAAGACATGGCTTGGGCTAATATTTACTTAATTTTGACCTTTTTCGAGAACACGGCATTTTTACCCTCATTAAAAATAAGGCATTAAACAAACAAATCCCAATAACTTTAAACACACATTTTAGACTGACTTCAATTTAAACACGCCCGCTTTTGATCTCGATTAAATATCCGTAAACATTTGTTAAAACGAAAATGTTTATTATTACAACAAATCGAACATAAGTATTATTTGTTTATGCAAGCCACATTCGCATGTTCAGTTTGTTTTTCTAGATACCATTGGTTGTCATGGCAATATTTTGACAGCATGCTTGTTTTATATTAAATCGAGGCGGCTAAGTGATCATGTGTTGCTTCCTCCCTGTTTTTTTGTTGTTTTAGTTAACCACATGTGTTTATGTTAAGGAGATATGATACCATACATATAAAGTACATATTTCATCAAATAAAACAAGCTAAACTGTCTTTGTTAATAGATTTGTATGCTATTGATCCCAAATATATTCCTTGTGGAACTTATTTCATCAAAATATGACAATTTATAAAAATCAGATTTGTTAATTTCATTTTGTAAAATTTGAACATATTTTTTTTTGTAGAAAACCAGGGTTTGTAATTATTTTAACAAAGGAAAATATTTTATTGAAAGTTTTGTAATAGTATATTAAAGAACTAATGTCATAAGACGTCATTTTATCTATTTTGCACAAATTCTTAAAAAAAAATAATTTTATACCTTAAATTTAATTTGGTCGAATTTTACTTTAGATAGTTGGAAACGCAGTCATTGGTTTGACAGTTAATGTCAAAATCGATTCGCCATGCCGTCCTTAATTTACTTATTTAAAATAAGCGGATGTTCATGTTAAAGAAAAAAAAAGGAATTTCTTTGGTGTTAAACAAAATTTATTGCCAGAAAAGTCCCGTAAGTGCTAAAAAAATCATAAAAATAATATAACCAATATGCAAAATAATATGCTGTTTAAAGTAAAGCCAACCTATACAATCAAAATTTTGGGTGGGATAAATTATCTCATTAAGGCACCAAAAGCGGTGTTATAATATAGCCATTATGAACGCAAAATAGATAAAGGTAATATGTAATTTTTAATTCAAAGGTTACAGATTATTTTGTTAATGTTTAACAAATTATTTCGTTAAAAAGTACACGTGATTTCAGGCAGTCAATCAAAACTTTTCCCACTGACAATATACGCATCAACAAGTTCAACTGACTTCACGTATGCAACTTATGTTTCTGCTTACTTTATTCTAATTCTTAATGTATTCGTAACAACTGTCCAGAATCTGGACTCCAGAGTGTTTATAATATATTACATGAAATAAAAAATACTTTTGTTACTGGGTCTACAAAAAGGTTTGTAAAAATAAGATCCTCTTTGAAAATTACAAGAATTATTATTAATTAATTATTATTAATGCACACCTGTAAATTTAATGTTAAATGTACTAAATTTTATGTGTGTTAGTCAAAGAATCACTTTTAGAACCTTAATCTTTGTTTTTAAAATATTAAACCATATGACTCCCATATATTTAACTAAAAAAGTAAAATTAAACTGTGATATTCATTACTATCCAATAAGGTAAGACAAAGATATTTATATAGATAAACCAACGTCAAGTAAATATAGCAAAAGTATATTTTTTAAAGAATTTCAATTGTATAATAATTTACCACAGGAAATTAAATACTGTGATTACTTAATTCATTTTAAAAACTTGTTAAAATATTTTGTGATAGAAAAATTGTTATATATGTATTTAAAAAGTTAAAATAATGTAAATGTATACGTGTTTTAAATAGCAGAGGCTAAATAAATATATTATTAATTAATTGTTTCGACTTTTACTTGATGAAACTCCATGTTAATATTGTTTTATTTTAATATAAACTACACTGTTTAAAAGTTTCACTATTTTATTTAAATATGACAATTGTTTCGCTACACAGTAGCATCTTCAGATCGTATACAAACTAATATTTATTTTACTTTTACCATCATTTATATAAAAGTAAAATAAATTTTAGTTTGTATACGATCTGAAGATGCTACTGTGTAGCGAAACATATATTAAAATAAAACAATATAAATATATTATTATTATTATAATTATGGTTGAATTATTGATGTAGGAATTTGTTATTAAATCTACAAAATGTTTGTTATAATTACAAACTGAGCTGGGAGGATCTTGAAACAAAAGATACTTGAAAGTAACTTAGATACTTAAAGTATCTAAGATACTTTTTATATTGGACAGAAAGTATCTTTAACTAAGTTACTTTGGTAAAGTATTTTGTAACTTGTATCTAAAAAAGTACTCGGTAAAGTAACTAAGATACATTCAAGTAACTTAGATACTTTAAAGTAACTAAGATACTTTTTAATGTAACTAAGATACTTTTTAAAGTAACTTAGATACTGTTCAGTGTAACTTAGATACTTTTTTGAGAAAATTGGGGGAATTCCAGAATGATTCAACGTAATTTCCTAACCTACAACTTGTTGAATTTTCATAATTTTATAGTTTTTATTCATACTTAAAAGTAACTTAGCTAATTAAAAGTATCTTAGTTATTCAAAAGTTTCTTGGATACTTTTATATAGTATATTAGATACTTTCCAAAGTATCTTGTAACTAAAGATACTTTCAATTTAAAGTATCTAGTTACCAGAGGTAACTAAGTTATTTTGTTTAAAGTATCTTAGAAAAGCAACTAGATCCTTTCAGAAGTAACTTTCCCAGCTCTGATTACAAACTACTTATTCAATTAGTTAACAGATTACAGTTGGTTGTAACTTAACTAAAAAATATATTTTAGTGTGCAATGGCTCGATAATAGAGTATTAAGGACACCCTGAAGTGTAAAAAGATAAAACAAAGTCTCACAAACCTCGGCAAATCTTTTTTCCGACTCGTCGAACAAATCGGAGGCGCATCTGGGAATGCACCCTGTGGTAAGATCGCCGGGGACTTGGTCCGGACCGCAGTCCAAGTAGGCTGGATTAACAGGTGCCGAGATGTCGACGATTTTGTCTTTCGGCCCTTCCATGCACATGTGATTTTGATTGTTCTCCGCCGGGAACCGCGAGCAGTTGAGGGCGTCCGGCCAGGGGAAACCAAACTCACTCAAAACCGGGAAACAACGCGACCAAACGCTCTCGCAGAGGTTTCTGCACGGTCCTATAGGGTTCGCGACTTTTTCCGTGCACATCGGGACGTACACCGAGCACAGGAACAGCTTCAATTGCGGACTGCAGCCGTATTGTATCAGCGGAGAAAACGACTTGATGTTGTAGTCAGCTTCTTGCTGGAGGTCGTTACCGCCCAAATTGGGCATCCCCGTCATGTTGTAGCCCAGATCTTTGCACAACTCCACGCGAATTGGCTCACACGATCGCAACAGAGGCTCGAACATGGCCTGCTTCACCAAAACACACAGTATAAACGCGTATAGAAACATCGTTGCGCGACACAACTTCCCTCTAAGAACGACTCCGACCGAATAGCTTACACACGCGGTTTTCACTTAGGTAGACGTCCCGTACTTACTTTGGAATGCTGTAATCATAGACTTAACGCGCTGTAGACAGATGCTTTAACGAAGCAAAGTGAGGTACTGTGTAGGAGTTGGATTTGTAAGGCCTTTTATACGGGTTTTTTCTTTTTTGGTAGTGCGTATGTTTGCTTTTTGTGCTGATAAGATTTTTAATTTATGAAGGGTAAGGTAAATATGGGATCTGCCCCCTTATGTTTAACTTCAGGTGTTTTTGTTTGATGGGACGTGGATGCCGCCTTTTTTGGGGACGGCAAGCGCTTTTGATAGAGTTAGAGTAAACACTTTCTTTTTTATTAAGTGTTTAATGTGTGTATAATGTAAGCATTTTCTACATGCATATTTACTAAAACATATAAATATGACAAATTATAATAGAGAATCACAAAATTTGATATAAAAATGTAAAATTTTGTTATTGTAATAAAAATTATTACGCCGAAAATATGAAAAACAAAAAATAAACAATGCATATTAAAATGTAAAGGTAAAATGTAGATATTACAGCTCAGGTTCCAGATTTTTAACCGCAATTAATTATTTAAAGTCTAAAACCTATCCTCCGTGACTGTTACTCTTTCTAGGTTAACCTATATGTTTTTAAATATCTAAGGTAGTAAAAGCATACTAAAAATATCAGTTCACTAAGTAAATTAAACACATCCAAATCAATCGAATCAAATATAAAATATTATTAAAAATTAAAATAAATAATTTTTATAACCATTTATGTAGGTGTTACAAAAATTGATTCTATCCTCCGTGAATCTGTTTTTGCTTTAAATTTTATGCAACGGATTGCGTTTTAATCATTTTAAATAAGCAAAAACCTCTGTTTACGACATTATAGATGCATGTGATTCCTGAAGGTCAGTTAGAATTTATATGCAGATGAGAGTGTTGCTGTTTTATAATTCAAAAGTTTAAGTCCATTAATTTGCTATTTAAAAACCTATCCACCGTGAAGTGTAATATCTCAGTAAGTAGATTTTTTTATAAATATTTTATGTATGTACAATTGTATTATTAAAAAATATTAAGGTGTCAAAAGATACAATAACTTTAGAAAAAACATACGAAATCCTAACCTCCGTGAAGCTCTAATATTCAAAATGTATGATTTCTTAAAATTCTTGCATTAGTGCAGAACCACTTATGTTATGTTAATACTATACCTGGTGGCTTCCAAAAAACCCCATTCTAGACTAACAGTAAAACAACCAAAAATAAAAAATAATCATTTTCACTTCACTTCAATTGTTTGGTTTTTTAATTTATATTATTTTTAACAATAATGCTAAAAAAATTACATTTTGTTAATAATCTTTATTTACTCGTTTAACTAAAGGTTAATAATAGTTTTTTTTGTAAATATCATTAGACCACGCTTTAAGTTAAATACAGTGTAGTTTTCTTCATATACCCTAAAAAGTTCTATAAAAAATCTGATTGTTCTTAAAGAGGTTTGTAAAGCTTAATAACTTTTACAATTCTGTTTTTTTTAATGACATTTTTAGTGTATATTAAGAAAAAATTATTTTGGTGTTATTTTACAAATCGTTATTTTATCGGTATACCTTGAAAAATTTTCAATGAAAATATACCGTATTTTTAACATTTTGACGCATAAAATCTAATTTTTTTTAAACGCTCTATAACTTTCACAATTTGTGTTCGAATTTAATGACAATTTTAGGGTATGGTAACTAAATTACGCTCTTTCTTTTGGTGACATTTTGGAAATCTTTATTTTGTACCTTAAAAATAGCCTTAAACTAACTTTGGCGTTAGTATACCATTTTCGGGACAACCTATATAAAAAGGAGCACACCAATTTTTAAACGCCAAAAATATTATTAGAAAAATTTTTCTTGTCATAAAAAATATATATGTTCAATATTATTAGAAAAAAAAACATATATGTTCAATATTATTAGAAAAATTTTTCTTGTCATAAAAAATAGTGAACATATATGTTCACTATTTTTTATGACAAGAAAAATTTAGTAGTACCAACCTCAGGACAATTAAAGAAGTTTACTTTTTACAGCTCTGATTTTTTTCGCTCAAAAGGCAGCAAAAATCAAATTTCAGAAAAAATCCTTTAATTTGATAAATAAATTAAAAAAAAAACGTTAAAACTATTAAAAATTATTAAGTATACAATTTCAGAAAAAATCATTTAATTTGATAAATAAATTAAAAAAAAAACGTTAAAACTATTAAAAATTATTAAGTATACAATTTTTACAAAAATAAGATATAGGTATCAAAAATATAAAAACTTTTAAAAATAGTACAGAATTGTTTAATATATTGGAAAATAATATATAATCCAATAAATAATGAACACCATAAAAAATATCTTTAGTGTAAATTTTTGATCAAAGTAGTCCCAAACGGGCTCCTTGCGGCACACAAACCCAAAATCCACCTATCTACGACGTCTTAAGTCGTTGGTGGAGTCTCAAAAGCCCCTTACGATCTCTCGCGACCGCGGCCGACTATTCAAATTAGCCACGAGTTCACAAGAAGCAGCCAGCAGCCACTTTGACCGAACTGCACAGTCGAAAAACTCCAAACGAGAAGACGAGGAGGCGGCTATTTTCAGTACCCATGCCTTCATGATGTTCGAATATCAACCGGATACGGCACATGCTGTCGATATTGTCAGTAGGCCGTGTATTTTCAGATGCACCTTGTCTATTAACAATTTTACAATTTGTTTATTCGGGTGTTAACGTTCACTGACGCTTCGCAGTTGGGTCTGCAGGGGCTTTTTACGAGCAATATAATTGAAATGCGCGAATGGCTTCAGTCTGTTGCAAAATTACATCCATGTGATTGTTGGTAATAGGGAAAACTATTGGAACGAAAGACATTAGCTTTTTTTAACACCAGTAGTTTTGTAATAAATAATTGACCATCCGATTTCAAAATATTTCGGCATAAATATTATATTATACAGGGTGTCCCAAAAATATTCAGAGGCGCTGAGTCATAAGATGAAATATTCCACATTCCACTAAGGTTGTACAATTGGGACTAAATGGTTTAAAATAAAAAATAGTATATTAAAGTACTAATATCATAAGACGTCATTTTGTCGCACGCGGACAATTTATACGAGTGCGACAAAAGGTTTTATGACATGAGTTCTGCTATTTGCAAAAATTCTATAAAAAAAATTAATTTTATATCTTAAATTTAATTTGGTCGAATTTTACTTTAGATAGTTGGTATCACAATAATTGGTTTGACAGTTAATGTCAAAATCGATTCGCCATGCCGTCCTTAATTTACTTATTTACAATAAGCAGCTGTTAATGTTAAAGAAGAAAAAAAGGATTTTCTTTGGAGTTAAACAAAATTTATTGCCAGAAAAGTCTCGTAAATACTAGAAAAATCAAAAAAATATTATAACCAATATGCAAAATATTATGCTGTTTAAAGTATAGCCAATCTATAAAATCAAAATTTTGGGTGGGATAAAGTATCTCATTACAGCACCGAAAGCGCTTTTATAATGAAGTCATTATGAACGCAAAATAGATAAAATAATTTTAAAGATTCTCATATACAGTGTGACCCATTTGTTTGCGACTCACCCCAGTAAATTTGTGCGATTTTAACCGGATTTGTTTTAAAATGTAGATATTGATAAACTGTATTTTTGGAGCAAAAAACACCATATTTTCACAAAATTCAAGGCCTACTATGTCAGTTTTTGAGAGTAAATTCATATTAGCGATTTCAAAAAAAATCTACGCACGGCACTGGATTCACCACCCCTCAAAATGATCCCATACTAAATTTTATTGAAAATTTTTAAGGGTTAACGATTTTGTTGCCAAATTAAAAATTAACAATAATAACTATTTATAAAAATTTATTCTGTCGAGTTATCCATGAAAAAAACAAACTAATAGAAATATGGTATAAATATTTTTATTAAGGTGACAAAAAATCTAATTTTCAAAATTCTCTATTTTTTTGTTTCATTGTTGTTTTAAGTTTCTGTTGCGTTTTATATTTGTCAAAACTAAGCATAGCATATTTACAACATGTTGCTACACAGTAAAACAATATTTGTTAATTTTTACCAAATATTAACCAGATTTTATGTTAATCCAGGTCCACATAACTTTAAGTTAACTTTACAACCGACTGTAATCTGTTGAATTGAACAATTAGTTTTGTAATTATAACAAACATTTTGTAGATTTAATAAAAAAATCCTGTATCAATCAATTTAACCATAATTCTTGTAATTTTTAAAAGGGCCCTTATTTTTACAAACCTTTTTGAAGACCCAGTAACAAAAGTATTTGTTGAAAATTGGCAACTTAAATGATAAGAATTTTGATAAGAAATGTTGCTTTATTAATCAATTTCCTAAACAAAAAAATAACATACACAATTAAACACAGCATTCTGAAATCATCAGATTATAAAGAAATTTGGCATCTACAATATAATTATCAGTACTACTACTCTCTAAAAATGAATTAGTCAAAATGAATAATTACTACAGTTATTAATGGTTAACCATGGATACCATGGTATTCCCAACATTTAATAGCCAATTCTTATGTAAAATTGTCCCCTGAATACCCGAAAATACCGTCAAAAATTATGAAAGTACAGCAGTTTTTGAGATATACTCAATTCCATATTATATGGAAAATTGCCTATATCTCAAAAACTGTTCTACTTTTATAACTTTTGACGACATTTTCGGATTCAGGGGAAAATTTTACATGGAAATTGACCGCTAAATGTTCGGGATGAAAATTGCTATTGACGAGAATTATTAGTGGCTGCTTTTTCGCTATGACAATTAGTCATTTTTGACCAATTCATTTTTAGAGAGAACAACACTTACTTAATATTGGTATAAGGAATCCAAATAACAATAATAACAGATTTCTTGCATTGCATTTTACCTTTACAAAACTTTTGG